GACGTCTCCCTTCACCCACTTTTCTGTTGCCGGTCCCCCAGGGAAGAGGTCACGTATAGTTCCAGGAGCAAGTTTTTAAAAATACTTCATGCCTCTGTAAAATGATGGAATAAGAATTAAATTACGCATAATATTTAATGAAATAGTGCACATCAAACCAACATCTGCAACACCACGGAATTTAATAAATATTGTTTCTGCAATGCCATTCCAGATTTCAGACTCTGCTGACACACAAACCTCAATACTTCTCATCCAATCTTCTGCCCCACAGAACTATATTCCAGTCTCAAATTCATTTTCTGGATTAACAGCTTTCTAAATTTGCCTAAAAAATAATAGTACCTGGCCTTCTAATGGGCTTGTACTGAAGATTCTCAACTTCTTAACCATTTAACCTGTAGTGTAACAGCCTCCCAGTTTTTTTAAATGGTAAAAACTTCCAGGACACTTAATCTTGAGTGGAATCTGGACTGGTTTCACTAGGACAAAAAGCAGTAGCTGAGTACTGTGCTAACTCAGGACACCCAGTCACTTTAGCACTTTAACCCATTAATTTATATATCAAAGCACCCGGTTTTCATTGGCTATTTCACCCTTCTAAGAAATCCGCCAAATCTTCAGATTGTAAGATGTAATATTTAACCTAGGAACTGATGACAGATATTAAAGACTTCTTTTTATGAAAATAAAGTGTCATACCTAGAACTGACAATAGGAAATGACTGCTTTGTTAAAAAGACAGAAAATGAGAAATAAACAAATTAAAGGGCATGGTTGAAATGAGGGATAGAGGTAGCAGAGTAAACAATTAAGGAACATTTGTCCTATGGTTGTACTAAAAATACATAATAATAAAAGGCTAGTTTTTTTTTTTTTAGGTCATAAGAGGTCATAAGACTCCCTCTCACCTACTTCAGACACATTATCAGGAGGGACCAGCACCTGGCAAAGGACATTATGCCTAATAGAGAGCCAGGGAGGAGGTCACATGGAGATCCTTGTAAT